CCGTCCATTTTTGGTGTGCTTTTTTTGCCCTCCCCAGGCTCCAGAGGCTTTATAGGAGCCTGGGGAGGGCGAAACAGCCTCCCCCGCTCCCCCCCAGAGGCTTCAGGAGCACCTCCTGAACCCCCTGGAGCGCAAAATACCGGCCCTATGGGCAAACCGGACGTTTGGGAACAGATTTTCAGTTTGTTCATAGGGCCGTTTTTCGTTCTCCAGAGCCTTCAGGGAAGTCTCCTGGAGGCCCCTGAACACTCTGGAGGACTAAAACTGGCCCTACAAGCAACCCGGAAGTGACCTCCGGTTTGCTCATAGTGTCCTTTTTTGTCCTCCAGAGGCTTCAGGGAAGCCTCCTGAAGGCTCTGGAGGGCTAAAACCGGCCTACAAGCAAACTGGAAGTACGTTCCTGAAGTTTCGGTTTGCCGGTAGGGCCAGTTTTTCATGCTCCGGAGACTTGAGGGAAGCTCCCAAAGCCTCCGGAGGGCAAAATATGCCCTCAAAAGAAGGCCGAAGTCAGCTGGCCAGTGCACACATGCACGATGCCAACTGACAAGGCAACGCCTCAGGTGCCCAGACAAATAGTTCCGCATGCCACCTGTGGCACGCATGCCATATGTTCACCATCACGGGTATAGATTCTCCTGTTTGAGCAGCGGGCTGGAGTGGAAGACCTTCAAGGTCCCTTCCTCCCCATTCTAGTCTAGATGTATTAGGGGATCCGCAACAAAGCAATAGTTATACTGAATAGTTATACTGAATAGTTATTTATTTGGGATTTCCAAATAAATACTGAAAAGTATTTATTTGGAAATCCCAAAACACATTTATTATCAGGAGTAATTATACGGAATAATAGTAACATTTACAGAATTTAGGAATTATTCTGACATACAACGGTTGTATGATAGGATAGTTAACTCCTCTTCTAGGATGAAGGCATCAAAAGAAGATATATATATATTGTCTCTTGTGAAAAAAACTCAGTTACAGGATTTCCTCTGAATGGAGTTATTCTGTAGTCTACTGATATAGAAACTGGTATCCCAAACAAAATCACAGAAAGGCATGTTATGAATTCCAGAATAAAACACACATAAACACACAAAATAGCTGTGGTTATTACCATTTGTATTTCCTATTAGAGACAATCCAACAGACACATAAAGAACTGTCTTCTGAATGGAGTTTGTGAATACATAACAAGAATAGGTTCTCCACAACGGTTTAGATGTACCTTGGTTTGAACCTGCCAAATTCTGGAAATCTTATGGTCAAAGAATCTTTATACACTCAAATGCACCTCAGTCTGAACTAAACCCAGTTTATTAAAGACAGCAGGATATCTATCTTTATATAATCAGGTTAACTCACATGGAACATCTGAAGTAAAATACATTTTTATATTAACTCCTCAGTTGCATGTAAATTATTCTTGTGTTCTTAATTCCCCAGTATGCATTCAATACATGAAGCACAAAAGTAAAAAGTAACTGGACTCTGAAAGTCTAGATCTTTTTCCTTAAGCAAGAAAGAAAAAGTTATAGCTAATCACAATGTCACATAAATATTAACTTCCCATATATACACAATAACATTTTACATGCAATGAGGCTAAAAATATATTCTGCAAGAAGAGAATGTAGAGAAATTACTCAGAGGACCTTTTTTCTCTTGATTGGTCATATCTCACAACTATGCAATACCAAGCTTCTGAAGACTCTCTAATACCCATCCATCAGTGATTAAACATGACACATCTAGCTGTCGACATTCTTTTGTTGACAAAAGATAATGCTATACTACTATAATGATTTATAGGAAGAGACTGGGATATTGAAGGAAGAGCCATGGTCATAGTAATGGTCAAATAAGAGGCAGATTAACATGCAGTAGGAATGTGGCAAACATCTAAAAATATACTCTCCTTAGTTTGCTGAACTGTAAAGGTGACAGGGAGAAACATACATTGAAAATTCTGTTGATGTAAACTTTTAATAAATGAGAGATAGTTCCGTTGGTATGCTTCTTATCAGAACTATCTTACAAGGCTGACATTAGCTCAATCAGTCATGGGTGTCAAATTTGTGGCATCACGTTGCTGTCACTTGACATATCACAACGTTTTCTCCTTTGTGGAGTTGGGGTGAGAGTGGGCTGTGTGTGATACATCTGGCCCGTGGGCACCAGTTTGAAATCCCTACTGGAGATGATCTAGTAAAATAACTGGCCAGAAGTTACTGAATGTCTCAGTCCTCATTTCTCGATCATCTAGGTATTTGCCTCAACCCACATTTCGGTATCTTCACTGCAACTCATCTTATTTGATGACACACAGTTCCTTTATATTGATGTTGCATGAGCTGTTTTTATGAAGAGTTCTGCTTCCAGAGAGCTTGCAGACTTGTAGTCAATCGGACATTTGTTCATCAGAATTTAGTTAGATTGTAATTGTTTGCTAAAGTTGTCTCCATGTTGGAAATTCCCAGAGCTTGCATGCAATCATTGTGGGGGCAATATCAACACATTGCCAAGTTGTTATACCTAGCAATCCTTCCTTCATATTTCCATTTATTGTTATACCTAGCAATGATAGTGCTTTTCTTTTATCTTCCCAGGTTTCTAGGGCAGCCCTCAGAAGATAAAATAATCAACATCACTTGGATAGCACAGCAACCTGTTATGTTCCCTAATAGCTATGGGACGGCCAGAAGGAATGGGAGAAGGTTTATTGTGCAGTATTCTTCAATTCACTCATCTTCTTCAGCTTGACACACACACACACACACACACACACACACACACACACACACACAC